CCAAGGCCAGAGATCAAGCCTGCAAGTTGACCGGAATTGAACCCAGGACCTTTCAGTCCGCAGGCCAATGCTCTATCCACTAAGTCAAACATTCTACAAACTTGCCACCGGCTGCGAGTTTGACATGCTTGGGTTAGGGCATCTATATATATAAAAGGCTAAGTGACCAACTGTCCATCTGTCTGACCATCCATCTGACTGACCGGCCAGTACATATGATGTGCACTGGTAATCCTATATAATAAACCCTAATATGCAAATAGACCGAACGGCAGAATGACTGGTTGCTATGATGCACACTGACCACCAGGGGGCAGACACTCAACGCAGGAGCTGCCCCCTGGTGGTCAGTGCGCTCCCATAGGGGGAGCGCCGCTCAGCCAGAAGCCAGCTGCAGGTGGGCGGTAAGGAGCGAGGGGTCCTGGACTGCGAGAGCCCCCGACTATGAGAGCGATGTCTGTAGGATGCCTGGGGATCGGGCCTAAGCTGGCAGACAGACGTCCCCCAAGGGGTCCCAGACTGCAAGAGGGTGCAGGCCGGGCTGAGGGGACCTCCCCCCCAAGTGCATGAATTTTGTGCACCAGGTCTCAAGTTTAAAAATAAATGTTGACTTGCACACGCGTGATACATATAAAGCTCTCGCTGGCGCCAATCGCCAATGGCACGCGTGTGCACGAATCTGTGCACTGGGCCACTAGTATAATATATTTTGTATTATTAGTCTTTCATTGATAGTAAAATGAATTATTGGTGTTGTTACTTTAGTTTATTATAAGTTTATAATTTCCCTGGACAAGTGATTATTTCCAAAGTTATAACTATTCTCAGTCATAATTAATCAGAAGTTTGAAAATGATACCAGAAGTATGTGTTTAAATTGAACTCTACAATTTTAGTATTTTAATGCCTTTGAGTTGACCTTTGTTAGAGGTAGTATTTTTTTTAAACTTTGCCTTTATGTGCTCCATTAGGCTGACTGCTTGTTTTCCAAAAGGTATTCTCTTATAGAACTTTTTTTTTTTAATTAAAAAGATTATAAAATTCATATACCATAAATTAACCATTACCAATGTTAAAGTGCATATAATTCAGTGACATTTAGTATATTGAGTGTTGTGCAGCCATCACCTCTTTTAGTTTCAAGATATTTTCATCATTCCCCAAAGAAACCCTATATATACACATTAAGGAGTCATTTCCTATTTCCTCCATCCCCAACCCTCTGGCAACCACTAGGCAACTTTCTGTAGATAGATTGACCTATTCTGAATGTTTCATATAAATAGAATCATACAGTATGTGACCTTTTGTGTCTGGCGTCTTTCATTTAGCATATTGTTTTCAGGATTCATCTGTAGGTATAACATGTATCAGTACTTCATTCCTTTCTGTGGCTGAAAATAATGCATTTTATGGATATAACCACATTTTGTTTATCCATTCACTCATTGATGGACATCTGCAGTTGGTTCCACCTTTTTGCTAGTGTGATTATGCTGCTTTGAACATTTGTGCACAATTATTTGAATATTTTCAATTTGTTTTGGGTATATGCATTGGAGAGGAATTGCTGGGTCATATGGTAATTCTATGTTTAACATTTGTTTAATTTTTATTTTTAAAATTTATTTGATTTTAGAGAGAGAGGAGGGGGGAGAGAGAGAGAGCAAGAAACATCGATTTGTTATGCCCTGACTGGGAATTTTTTTTTTTAAGTGGAGTAACTTTTTAAAATAAATATATTTTTATTTTATTATATTTTATTATGTTTCAGGGAAATTCTTACTCTAGTTACCTCCTAGAGCACCCTGCCCCCACCCTCCTCCTCCCTGAAGTTCCATCATCTCAATTTCTCTTCTTTTTTTTTCTTTTTTTAAAAAATTATATTTTATTGATTTTTTACAGAGAGGAAGGGAGAGGGATAGAGGGGTAGAAACATGAATGATGAGAATCATTGATCAGCTGGCTCCTGCACGCCCCCTACTGGGGACCGAGCCCGTAACCTGGGCATGTGCCTTTGACCGTAATCAAATCCAGGACCATTCAGTCCACAGGCTGACGCTTTATCCACTGAGCCAAACCGGCTAGGGCTTGAATGGGAATTGAACCATGATCTTCTGGTTCAAAGGTTGACACTCAAACACTGAGCCACATTGGCCGGGCAGAAAGTGTTTTATTAATTTCATATTTGTATTGTTTATTGCTAGTATATAGCAATACAACTAATTTTTGTGTATTGATAGTGTACCCTGTAGCTGTGCTTTGCTAATTTGCTTGCTTAATAGTTTTTTGGTGTATTCTTCTAGGATATTCTTTATATAGGATATAGGAGGATATAATTTGTGAAGAAAGATAATTTTACTTTTTCTTTTCTTGGATGCCTTTTTTTTTTCTTGATTAATTGATCTGGCTAGAACTCCAGTACAATGTTTAATGTAAGTGGTGAAAGTGGGCATCCTTGTCTTGTTTCTGATTTTAGAGGGAAAGCTTTCAGTATTTCAGCATTGAGTATAATGCTAGCTGTAGGTTTTTAAAAAATGCCTTTTACCATGTGAGGAAATTCTCTTCTGTTTCCAGTTTATTGTTTTGTGTGTGTGTGTGGTTTTTGTTTTTTTTATCACAAAAGGGTGTTGGATTTTGTCTAGTGCTTTTTCTGTATCAATCATATGATCATTTTCCCCCCTCCATTCTGTTAATGTGTGTGTATTATATTAATTGGTTTTCATATATAAAGTCACCCTTGCATTTTTGGGAGAAATCCCACTTGGTTATGGTATATAATCCTCTTTATATGCTGCTGTATTTAGCTTGCTAATATTTTGTTGAGGATTTTGCATTTATTTTCATGAAGTAGATTGGTCTTTAGTTTTCTTGTGATGTTTTATCTTTTTTGGTTTGGGATGATGCTGGCTTTGTGGAATAAATTAAGAAAAAATGGTGGTTCCTGTTCTATTTTTTGGAAAGGATTTAAGGATTGATGTTATTCTGTAAATGTTTGGTTAAATTTTTGGTCCACCCAACCCCCTTGGCAAGTACTTCTTAAGATTGTCAAGGTCATGAAAAAACAAGGAAAGACTCAACTGACAGACCAGAGGACACTACGGAAACAACAACTAAATGCCAGTGTAGTACACTGGATGAGATCTTGGAACAGAAAATGGACATGAATGGAAAAACTGGAGAAATACGAATCATGCCTGGAGTTTAGTTAGTAGCAATGTACCAACGTTGGGTTTCTTAATTTTTGACACTGTACCACTATAAGATAGGATGGTAACATTAGAGGAAACCGAACTGGGTGAGGGGTATATAGGAATTCTATCTTTGCAACTTTTCTGGAAAGGTAAAATTCCAAGAAATTTATTTTTAAAAATGCATATATAGTTAGTAATTACAGTAAAAAATACAGCCTGGGTTTTCTTAAGGTCAGAAGTCTATTTGTCGGTCATACCTGCGGCATTTCCTTTGTAACTTTTAATTTAATTTTAATCTTTTTGTTTTTGGAAATATTTGTTCTTTTTTGTAATTATGAGTACCCAGGTGACATGAATCACTACTACTAGAACTGTCTCTACATTATTAAAATGCAAATGTTTACATTTTAGATACTTTTACATACTTCTTTTGGCCTTATGGTGGATATCTTTAGAAAAGTGAACAGTAATCCTAGATCAGCTAGTAATCACTTTCTGGTGTGTGAAACTTTTTACAAAAACGGTTGCTCTATCAGTGAAAATAACACATTTTGCATGGCAGGAGCTGACATTTTGAACCTAAAACTACCTTGGCCAATAAGTTGATCTATAAACCATCTAAACATTTGGGTCTCATTCCCCTTTGGAGCCTCTTGTAAACCTCTCTTCCCAGTGTAGGTATGTCTCATGCAGCTTCTCCAAGGCCTGTCTCAGCTCCTTGTCCTGGTATAACCCCCTGGGCTGACCACTCAACCCAGCAGCCTCCTTCCAGGAAATCGCCTGTGAGAAAGGTTAGAAAGCGCGAAGGACAAATGGGCTTATAATATTCCTTCCCAGCTTTCATGTTGGTAATGATATCCACTTTGTTAAGACTTAAATGTTGTTTATCTTTCATAGAACTTTCCCTGAAGACTTAAAAAAGAGCAAAACATTTTGGGGAGTTGCTTTTGCTACATTTTGTATTTTATTATTTTTATTTATTTATTTAAATATATTTTATTGATTTCAGAGAGGAAAGGGGAGGAGAGAGAGAGAGAGAGAGAGAGAAGAGAAAGAAAGAGAATCATCTATCGACTGCCTCCTGCATGCCTCCTACTGAGGCTCGAGACCGGCATCGAACCCAGGACCATTCAGTTTGCAGGCCGACGCTCTATCCACTGAGCCAAACCAGCTAGGACTACATTTTGTATTTTAAAAAATGTAGTCTCAAAGTTTTGGAGCTCAGCTGTCTAGACCTGGGATCATTTATGTATGGAATGTAGGTATAGCCGAGACCGGTTTGGCTCAGTGGATAGAGCGTCGGCCTGCGGACTGAGGGGTCCCGGGTTCGATTCCGGTCGGGGGCATGTGCCGAGGTTGCGGGCACATCCCCAGTGGGAGATGTGCAGGAGGCAGCTGGTCGATGTTTCTCTCTCATCGATGTTTCTAACTCTCTATCTCTCTCCCTTCCTCTCTGTGGAAAATCAGTGAAATATATTTAAAAAAAAAAAGGAATGTAGGTATATACACTTTAAGGGGTGAAAGGGGCCATAGCTTTTGTCTGATTCTCAAAGGAGTTTCCTGATCCTAGAAAGTTTAAGAATCATGATTTCAGTCCGTTTCTCCATCTAATTTGACGTTAAGTGAACTGAGGCTGAGAGAGGTGACGACTTGCTCATCATGCCTTGAGTGATTATCGAGGCTCCCAATCCCAGGTTTCTCACTGTATCACAATTAAAATTTTCTAAAGGGTTAACATTTTCATGCTTTTAATTACTTTCCATGCTTGTTTATTCCTTTTCTTTCCCCTCACTTTCCTTTTTGTAGGAAGTATGTCAGGTTTATTTGTCTTGATTATTATTTTTTGCTTCCTTAGGCCCAGCCATGACTACGGTAGCAGTACATGTGGACTCTAAAGCTGAGCTCACTACCCTGCTGGAGCAGTGGGAAAAGGAACATGGCAGTGGGCAGGACATGGTACCTATTCTTACCAGGTATGGACAATTAATTTTAAAAAAAATTACTTAAAGAAGGAAAACTTGTAGATAGTATAGGAACATTTCACCTTCACTGTGAATTCTAAATCCATTTATTTCCCTTTCAAAACTAGTCTTTTTTTTTTTTTTTAAATATATTTTATTGATTTTTTACAGAGAGGAAGGGAGAGGGATAGAGAGTTAGAAACATCGATGAGAGAGAAACATCGATCAGCTGCCTCCTGCACATCTCCCACTGGGGATGTGTCCGCAACCCAGGTACATGCCCTTGACCGGAATCGAACCTGGGACCTTTCAGTCCGCAGGCCGACGCTCTATCCACTGAGCCAAACCGGTTTCGGCACAAAACTAGTCTTTATCTCCCTATTTCTTGAAGCTCTTTACATTCCTTTTTAAAAAAAATTTAATTAAAAATTTATCTTTATTGTTGAGAGTATTACAGATGTTCCCCCCTTTTTTCCCCCATTGACCCCCTCCACTCTACACCTGCCCCTTCCACACCTTCAGCCACACTATTGTCTGTGTCCATAGGTTATGCATATATGCATATAAATTCCCTGGTTAATCTCTCCCCCCTCCCATCCCTTCTTAAGTTTCTTACCTTTCCTTTCAGGCCCTTTGTTCTCATTCTCCTCTGTAAGTTGTTCTGCCTGTGTTGTTTTTTGTTTTTTTTTCTTCTTCCTGTTAACTGATTTCAGAAAGGAAGGGAGAGGGAGAGAAAGATAGAAACATCAGTGATGAGAGAGAATCACTGATCGGCTGCCTCTTGCACGCCCCACACTGGGGTTTGAACCTCCTGGTTCATACGTTGATGCTCAACCACTGAGCCACGCCAGTCGGGCTCTTCTGCCAGGGCTTTGTTTGTGGTTTTCTTTTCCATTCACCCTAAGTATTTTCCAGAGATAGTTTCATCTCCGTCCATGATTTAAAACATTATTCCTATGTTAACTTTCAAATCTCTATTTTACTTCAGACCCCTCTTTTTAAAATTTCAGATACATTTCTCAGCTGTTTGTTTCACACATCTTTACCTGTCTATTGCACAGACACCTAAAACATACCATGTCCAAAATAGAGCTTATAGCCTTCATCCTCCCTCCCTCCTGTTCACAGCTTCTTCCATGCCTTGGTGTAAGTGGTTTTAAGCTAAAAAACTGAAAACCATCCTCTTTTGTGTATTCCTCTACCAGCACAATTTAGTCATCAAGCTCTGAGGAGTCTGCTTCCTCCTCTGCACCGTCCCGTCACTGCTTTCTTCATTAGGTATCAGCTGGTTCTTGCCTGGCCCGTTAGGCAGTGTGTATTATCCCTTTGTCTCCAGCTTACCCTCTTCGAATACATCCTCCCCTTTGCTGAAAGATGCATCTCTCCATACACAAATCTGATTGTCATATCGCTATTCCCGATTCTTCCCTGGTTCCTGTTTTCCTACAGAATAAAATAGAAACTTTTTATTTTCTAAACTGATTTCAGAGAGCGAGAGGAAGAGGAAGGGGGGTAAAGGGAGAGAGAGAGAAACATTGATTGGTTGTTCCACTTATTTATGCAGTCATTGGTGGTTTCTTACATGTGCTCTACCAGAGATCAAAGCTGCACCTTGGCATATTGGGACGATGCTCTAACCAATTGAGCTAACCGGCCAGGGCTAAAATGTAAACTTTTTAGAGTGGTTTATGAGGCCACTTATATTTGGCCCCCACCTCTTTTTTCTGCCTCAGAGTGTTGGTTTCCTTCAGCAAGGAGTAGTACTGTATTTTCTGATGTCTGGTGTATCAGAACTACGCTCTAATCAACTGAGCCACCTGGCCAGGGCCAATGATCTATTTTTTAGGGATAAAGAAAACTGATCTTATGAAAGTTTAAACAGATAAATGCATTTGTTCATAACTGCTCTGATACATGGGGAACATGTGAAAGTACAGGTTTTTTTTAAGGACAAATGTTGACTGGTGGAAAGGGGGTTTAATTTGTAGAGGCATTGGAGATGAAGAACTAATCACAAGATACTTGAAATGCAGCCACAGTGAATTAAAGGATCTAAGGATTGTGCAGTTATATGTGGATTATTGATGTAACTGAAAGAAGAGAATCATAAATGGGGATCATGTTAGCAGTGGATTCACTCAATTGCTCTAAAAATTTTATCAAACACACATACTCAACAAAAATACTCAAATGTTTTATTTTCAAGGCTCTTTCACATTTATCGTTTTTGACCATCATTGTCACTATGCTAAGTTATTCAGCAATGCAAAACCTAAAATAGAGGGTCCTGTCTTCAAGGTGCTAACCTTCTGGGAAGCAACTAATGGATAAGAAACAGTGCAGAATAGTACAAAATCCTATATAATAAAAGGCTAATATGCAGATTGTCCCTTTGACTGGGAGTCGATTGGGAGTTCAACTGGGAGTTCGACCAGGGGGCCGGGCCAGTGGGCCAACCACCCTCGGCCCCTCCCCCCCAGCCGGGCCGGCCTGATTGGCCCCAATCGGGGTAGGCCAGCCGGACCCCACCCTACCCATGCATGAATTTGTGCACTGGGCCTCTAGTAATATACATATAATGAAGTGCTAAATCTGGCGGTATGTTCATAAATATTGTGGAGGTGATGAGAATGAAAGAACTTGAATGAGTCAGCTTCTTTTATTCACTCAACAAATATTTGAAGACCTTTTGTGTGTCAGAACTCAATGAGACACTTCTCTGAATCTCAACTTCATTTGCTACTAAAAGTATCACTGAGAGTTACATTGTTAAAAGAAAGCCATCCTCAGAGCTACTTGGGAAAGCCTGCATAGCCAGACAGTGGAAAACGAGGTTAGAATCCTGGTTTTACTCCAATTCCAGTGGGCTTTCCAGTCCAAGATGAGGGAAAGTTTCCTTGGAAAAGGGATTTGAAAGATGGTAGAATATAGCTCCATGAAAAGCAGAGAAATAGGTTTTCTAGAAAATGTGAAAAATGTGACTGAAAAAGGCTTTGAGGAGAGAAGGGACCGGGGCACATTTTGTAGCAGCGAGGAAACGGGCCCCACCAGAGTGGAGGGTGAATAGGAGGCTGGAATGGGAAATTGTATGGAGTAAAATCCTAAAAAGATCTTCACGGTTAGAGGGCAGTTTAAGGGACAGGATGAATTCAAAGTGTAGTTTACTTTAATAGGGGCAACTTCCACCCCCCTCCAAATTGTGGGTCTGTTAGTTCACTGGATTTTGAAGTCCCTTCATGTTTTTTTCACCTGCTCCTCAGTGGCCGCAGGTTTGGGTATTTGGTATGTTCCATGAGAGCAATGAGCCCTGCCTGGGTAGATTGGTTGGTTAGAGCGTTGTCCAAGTACGCCAAGGTTGCAGGTTCTATTTCAGGTCAGGGCACATGCAAGGAGCAACCAACGAATGCATAAATAAGAGGAACAAATCGATGTTTCCTCCCTCCCTCTCTCTTCCCCGTCCTCTTTTTAAAATCAGTACATAAATTTTTTTTTTTTAAAAAGAAGAAGCAGGCAATGAATTACAGGTCTACTTAATCTTTTATTGACCACTGCTTTTTTTATGATCTTTTGGCACTTTTCTTAAGAAAAATGTACCGCTGTTTATAACTTTAATTGATTTTATTATTTATGTTATTTTATTTATTATATCAAGCTTTTGACTTGATTCTGTAAAAAGGGCCTGGCATTGGGCCAAGCTGTGTGAGCTTAATCCACATTATTGAAATATTACTTATATATTGTAAAGTACTTTGCTTGATGGATTTTTTTACTTGTAAAACTATCACCCAGATCAAGTTACAGAACTTGCGTAGCACCTCCAGAAGGCTCCCTCCTGCCCTATGCCAGTCAGTATCTACCTTAGGTTGTTTTCTGTTTGTTTGATTCTCTCTTTTTAAAAAAAAATATTTTTATTGATTTCAGAGAGGAAGGGACAGGGAGAGAGAGATAGAAACATCAGTGATAAGAGAGAATCATTGATTGGCTGCCTCCTACACACCCACTATGGGGATCAAGCCTGCAACCCAGGCATGTGCCCTTGCCTGGAATCGAACCCGGGACCTTTCAGTCTGTAGGCTGACTCTCTATCCACTGATCCAAATTGGCCAGGGCTGATTCTCATTGTTAATAGTAACAACACCTAAATAGCTCTCACATATCAGGCTTTGTTCTAAGTAGAGGACATATATTAACTTAAACCTCACGGAATAGGTACTGTTACCATCATTTTACAGATGAGTCACAGACAGGTTAAGTAATTGGACACACAGTTAATGGAAGGTTTGAACCGTGGTGATCTGGCTCCAGAATCCATGTTTTTAATTTCTGCTTTGCTATATTGCTTAGTTTCAGTTGGAGATTCTAGTAGGTCTTATGTAATTTTACATATATTTTGTGTAATTGCCTTTTGTGGCAAAGATAATTTTCAGTTTAGAGGGAAAGGTAGAAAAAGTAGAAATAATTCTGAGGCTTAATGGGGAAAAACATACTAGAGTGGGTAAGAATTTTTGCAGGGAGCTTAACCCTAAGACTAGGAAATATGGTTTTGTGGAAATGAAACATATAGGAGAGTTTGAGTTAGGACAGCATCTAGATATTAGAGGGTGGGACAGCCTTGTATTTGATTGCCGTTGTAATAGATTACAATGTCAGTCTTGCTTAGGGTTCTCTTGCCCTATCCTGTTTGATTCAGTGTATAGAGCGTCGGCCTACAGACTGGAAGGTCCCGGGTTTGATTCTGGTCAAGGGCACATGTCCAGGTTGTGGGCTTGATCCCCAGTAAGGGGCGTGCAGGAGGCAGCCAATCAATGATTCTCTCTCTTGCTCCCTCTACCTTCCTCTCTGAAATCAATAAAAATATATTTTAAAAAAAGTTTAAAAGTGATTTTTCTTGTTTCAAAAAGAATGCATGAATACAAAGGGACTCACTCTCTTTTTTGCTCACTCTTGCTCTCCCACTATCCTTCTCTCTTCCTCCCTCTCTCTCCCTCTCTCCCTCTCTCTCTCAAATTGATACAAGATTAAAAAAAATTCTGTGAAAGTAGCCAGATATAAAAAGAGTGTATGGATTCCATTTATATGAAACTGTGGAATAGGCAAAACTAATCTATAGTAAGAGAGAGAGGATGAGTGGCTGCTTGGGTGCATGGGTGGGAGCTTATGTGGGGGAAGAATGTTGTAGGCCAGTGATGGTGAACCTATGACACGCGTGTCAGAGGTGACACGTGAACTCATTTTTTTGGTTGATTTTTCTTTGTTAAATGGCATTTAAATATATAAAATAAATATCAAAAATATAAATCTTTGTTTTACTATGGTTGCAAATATCAAAAAATTTCTATTTCTATATGTGACACGGCACCAGAGTTAAGTTAGGGTTTTTCAAAATGCTGACACTCCGAGCTCAAAAGGTTCGCCATCACTGTTGTAGGCTGAGGCAACAGCACAAAGAAAGGCCCTGAAGCAGTAATCAACTTGGACTCTTTGAAAATCAGAGAAGGCCATGTTACTGCAGTTTAGTGAAAGAGGGATGGAGGAGAAGTGGTCAGAGATGCAGACAGAATCTGGATTTTTCTAAGCCATGATAGTACTTGGGTTTAACTCAGTTATTGTGGTAAGTCATTGGAAGTTGGAGGATGAATTGTCAGGCCAAGCATTGAAGCAAAAAGCAAGGAGACCAGTGCAAGCAGTCCAGGCAGTTGATGATGGTGGTCTGGACAAGGATCGGAATGGTTAAGATTTGGAGAAATAATTGAAGTCAAGAGATATTTTGAAGGTAGGGCTAACAGGAATTGTGAGGGATGAGGAAAAAAACGAGGGTTTTAATGATGACTCCTAGGTTTTTGGCTTCTGAGGGGATAACAGTGCTATTTTTTGAGACTGGAAAGGGGAGAGGAATGATTTTGGGAGTAGAAATTGTTTTATAAGATTGTTGTTTAGATCTCTGTTTATCAGAAAAATACATTTTCTTAACTTTTTGCTTTTATTTACACCTTGACTATTGACTATTGTAGGTGGTGGCACATGTTTTTATATGCTTGTCTAGAGTTGACCCTGTCTTCCCTTTGTGCTAGGATGTCTGAATTGATTGAAAAAGAAACTGAAGAATATCGTAAGGGGGATCCAGACCCATTTGATGATCGACATCCTGGTGAGACCTGTGTTTTAAACGTGGCTTTAATTTTCTTACAAAAGAAAATTGCTTAATAGAAAATATTTTCCAATTGAAATTGCATATTTCATGCTAAGTTTTAAGACCTAATATTTGTTAAAATATTGTTCAAGGTAGGAGCAGTGAGGAAAAATAAATTTCTGGAGAAATTGAAATAATTTGTTATATTTACACGTCAAATAAATGTAGGTATACCTTATTGACTCATTTGGTATGATTACAAAGACTTAAAAAGAGAAAACTGTTTTCTCTTTCTGACTTTTAAACCCAAAGGTGTCTGTGCCTTTACCTCTCTAACGATGCTAACGTTTCTTTTACTGATGGGGAACGGAGTTGAGAACGCATTCAGTGCCTTGCTTTCGTTATGAAGTTGATACTTGGAGCCTTGAATAATAAACAGCCTTCTTGATGTCTGCTTTAGTGTTTGGACAGCTACAATATGCCCTAACACAATTTGGTTTTATTTTGGGCTGATTTAATTAGAGTCATGACAACCTAGCCTGCTTTGGCATGGAATTTGATTTGCTATATGGAACTTGAGACGCTATTTCATGTTCTCTCTAAGGCAGATGACCAGTGGGCAAAGCTTAAGTCTTGTAGGGGCCTACACTGCACTAAACTTTCTCTCTCAAGAGCCAGACCTTTGTGGAGAGAAGAGTCTGAAATTTAGAATATGGAGAGATAGTGAAAATGAATGGGAGTTACAAAAATAAGAACATTATATATCCACCTGAATGTTGCAGGGTTTATTTCTATTTCTTAGACATTTGTTCTCAAATGTAAGTAAGTTAGGCATTTCACATTGAGTGTCCAGTTGTTTATGGGTGTTCCCTGCTGCCCTGTCCTAGGTATCCCCACTTGTGACTTCAGAGGACTTATTTACCTGTTTAACCCACATTTTTAGTAAGGCAATCGGAGTATGAAATATAAAAATGAATGTGAAATAAGAATTTTAGTTAATGTATGGCATTATGAAAAGAACTAAAAAGAGAGATAATCATGCTTAGTGATAATGCCTTAGAAAGGATGAAATGGTAATGAGGTAGAAGGGAGAGACAGAAAGATACGATTTTTTTCAGTAGAAATGTAAAGACAATTTTTTCCTCCCTATCTCTCATGTTAAGCAATATTTGTCATTAACCATAATTTCTATTAATAAATATAATGGTCTTAGTTCCATCATTTCTAAACATAGAAAGTTGGTAATCCGAGGTCCTCATTTGTTTTTATGATACTAATCTCTAACTTTTCTTTTTTGTGAATTACTTTGGGATACTAATTACAGCTTGGGAAAAACTTCATATCAGCAACTTACATCTTTTTTCATCCTTTGACTAAATTTTTCATTCTAATGTTTTGAAAAGAAAACTAAAGATAGATAGTATCTGTTTTAAAAACAAACCTCTCCCAACCGTTAACCGATTATTTTACTTTTAGGCTGTGTGTTGAGTAGATTTTAGGTTCTTTGTCTCCTTTCTTTCCCCAGGGGCTCAGAATTCAAAGCCAAGGTTACAGCATCTTTAGAGTTGGTGATTGTTAGTGTGATTC